TCAAAGATCCCTCAAACAAATCATTAAACTGTTGGCAAAATCAGAATAAAATGAATACTTTTGTCCTAGGAACGTTCCATGAGGCCAGACTGATAGAGTACGCTTAAGAAAAATATAGTTTGTTTTGTTTGTTTGCTGTTACTCGTAAGTCTGTTTTAGAAGCCATAATATTTTTGCACACTTCAGAAAAGAACCCTACCTTTTCTATAAAACGTTATTCTGGCATCCCTTTGAAAGCAACAATAACAACAACAACAACAACAACAAAAATATTGCACAGAATCAATTATAGATTGTTATTGCAGACAAGTATGAGTCAAAGAATTTTTGATTTATCCTTTAAAAAGAAAAACAAACAAGCAAACAAACAATATAAACCTCCCCCCCCCCCCCCCAACCAAACAATGGAATAAAGGAATAGCAACGAAGCTGTCGACGAAAAGCTATGATGAAATACCCATGGCAGCTACATACATGATCGACTTGTTCTAGATATTGTGCAAGAATATTTAATATCCCGTTTCAGCCTGGGGCTATGGTTCAGATTAGAATTCACGCTTTTCAGAAAATTGTTTCGCGCAAGGGCAACGTGGAATTTGAAATGTATGTGCAATTGTCTGTCCAGAGAAGACATTCAGAGGTCATGCAGTGTTGGGCGTTGTCTTTCATCACAGAAAAAAGGGACATCTCTTTTTTTTCAGAACAACCATATCAGGCAATGAAACATGGGTGTATTCGTGGGATCTAGAACTGAAAAGACAATCAGCATAACGAAGAAACCCAAGACCACCACGACCCCAGACCGCTCGATGCGAACAAGGTACTTTGAAAATGATGCACATCATATTGTTTTTCGATCACAAAAGTGTAGTTTTGAATGGCAGGCTTGCAATATTGGTTCAAAAGTCACTGCTGACAATTGGTCGCTTTTAAGCACAAGGGGGCTATCCCGAAGAATGCTGATTTGAGAAAATCAAAGTAAAGTTTTTGCCCCTTGTTCAGTTTCTTTCAACGACAAGGAGAGTTTTCTCTATAACCAAATAAATAATATACACACCAGTGACACCTAACGTCTCCTAAAGGTAGAGCAATGCCCACTTTTGGTGTTGGTCAAGATTTCTGGAAATCCCCGAAATATTGGTTTGCCTGCTTGTCCTTAAAAGCGACCAATTACAAAATTGTTTTTCAAACAAAGTTGAGATCAGCAATCAGAGGAAATGGTCGGGTCTGCTGGAGAAAGGTGTTGTCTTCCATCAAGACAATGCGCCTGTGCACACAGCTCGAAAGGTCACCATGCGACTTTCAACTGTCATACTTCCCACCAAATCAAAGGAGGAGAAAGGGGCAGCGATTTGAAGACGAGCGTGAAAATAGTGTCCGAAAGATATAAATGCTTCGTCGGAACTCTGACCGGAGTGGACATGGTCACTGCATTAATTGGCTGCAGGATACATCGTATCAAAATGCGCATTTAGATCAACGGTTATTACATTGAATAGAAAACGTATTTCTGTAGGTATGTACACAAGATCGTACTTAAAAAATAAACATTTACAGAACAGGGAATCTTATTTCTGGGACAGACCTTATACAAAACTTTAATGTATGACAAGCTGACAAGCGCCCAACAGGCCGAAGCAATGTATGCTCCCTGCCCTGCACCCTCAAGGTGCAATCAAAAATGAAAATGAGTAAAGTCATTTCTGTTTTTAAATTAATAAGATGAATATTTGGAGTCATTTTCTTTTTGGTAAGAACACTACGTGTTATGTTACTGTCGTACGTTGCACTGTATTGTAAAGCGCTCACAGCCTGTGTACTTTAATCGTGGTTGAGCGCTATATAAATGTCATTTATTATTATTATTATTATTATTAAAG